GTCATAGATAAAGTTCATTCACGTGTCTCTGTTGAAACTGCTGTTCTTGCTTTCTGGCGTTGTTTACCTGTCGTGGAAGGCAAAAAGTCAGAAAGTCTTTGGACTGGGAAATATAATGGCTGATGGGAGCCAAGGGTGGACCGTTTGGTAACACAATAAAAAAGGGAAGCATTGCTTGGTTACAACTCTGTGATATGCAGCCCTTTACTTAAGAGGATACAAGGGCAAGTGATTACAAGATTATAATCGGTTAATCTAATATAATCAGTTATGCCATAATCCTTGTAACCATGGACAATGAACTTTCAGTCTTGGTGCCTTTGAAACATTGTAGTCAGGGAGCAGGTCTGTGACCACTTAGTCAGCTGCTGTGTTCAAAGTTACCTCAGTGTGTCTCGATGCAGATGAAACAGCAGTAAAACAGGTTGTGACTGAATGTGATCAGTCAGCCAATTACATGCAATCTCTTTGCGATAATACAAAATTAACTGTGATAAATCAGCCATTTGTTGCAAATATGTTACCATTTAAATACACAGAAATTCACATTAAGTAGAAAATCATATAAACTACTTAGAATCATATTCCAGGCAGAACCTCATAGAATTGAAGCTAAAATTTAAAAATCAATGTTCTATCACTCAAGTACCCGAGAAAGGACAGACAGCATCTGTTTCCTGCAGTGATAAAGACCGCCGTTTCACATTATAAGAAGAGAGCAGGAGAAATAAAAAAAGATGGCAACACTGCCAGCTATGATCAAACAAGTAGAGACAGGCTGCACCCATTTGGCTGCCTGCCCGTTTTCATTTTTTTTTCTTAAAATTTTGAGAGGATTTGATGGAAACCTTGAAGTTTAGTTTCCTTTTTACTGGGGCCTGTTGTGTTCATTTCCAACTAGAGAAGCTTTGCCTGGTTCACAATTCAAACAATCCTTATTTCTTTCATAGTGAATCTTATGAGTAAATTTGATTAGGACATCTTGTATTAGCCTTCACTGATCCAACCCCTGCATTCCTGGTTGCTCGGGCTGCTGCAGGCTCTTTACATCACTTCCTCGTTTCCACGCTGTCAAGCGAAATTCTGTTATCATCACTCTGGTCCAATCGTTTTCTTCCCTGCCTTCTGCAAGCCAATCAGCCCACTAAAATGCTCCTTTCTTCTGAGTGTCTGCCCCTCGGTGTGGATGCTATGAACATAAATTCTAAACCTTGTAAAAAACAGAAATTCTCATTCTTAATGGGAAATCTCAGATCCGTCTTTACATATTTGAGCCCATTTACAGTTTGGTTTATAAAAGTAAACACTATTAAAACCGGCAGCCTCAAAGACCGATCTGTGTGATCTATATTGCAATACATAAAATTAGTCTTTCAGTCATAAGCTGGAAAAATCTCCCTGTCTACAGGCGGTGATTTACACCAACCTGGACTAAACCCAAAGCTGAATCAATGTTTTCCACGTTGACTGCTCCAGCTCCACATTATCAGATTGAGGAGGTTCAGGTCTTTTAGCTTTTGCTGAACAAGTGGCTTAGCTGCTTTTATCTGTCACAGTTGTCCCAAGTGACCGTGACGGGAGAAGCTTTGTTTTACATTGCACCGTCAGTGGGAGAAGAACTCAGAGCAGCCATTAAAACAAGCAAAGATAAAGAAAGCACATGTGATCACCAAAGACGAGGGTGACGAAAAGAAACAAAGAAGCTCCAGCTGGCACATGGATATATGAGCAAGAAAGAAAAGTAGGAGAAATGGGATAAAGACAAACTGAGAAAGGGACCTTTATATTGTTACTTTCTCTTCTTCATTCATACAAAGAACTGTGTGCACTTGAAAAGGAAAGAAGCACGCTTTTTTTATTCTGCAAAGTCATAAAAATAGAGGAAAACTACCACGTTGTTGCCATTAGATTCATTGTTATGCATCTTAGGTGACCAGTGTGTCTCTGTCTCACACTGGAATTTATCAGGATACACACACACACACACACACACACACACACACACACACACACACACACACACACACACACACACACACACACACACACACACACACACACAAAATTGCTCAGGGACCTGTTCTTGCTGTTCTGTCTTGCTCTCTGTCTCTGCACATACTGTTTGATTCAGTCAGCGTGGAACAGAATGTGGAAAAGCAAACGTCGGTTGGCTCACATCACAGTTCTCAGCCGAGGGGAGAAAAAGGAGCAAATCCCAGAAAACACAGAAAGTTTGGATCATCTGTTGTCCTTCTCACGCCCACAGCAGGGAACTGCTGTTAAATATTCATTACTGTGATCAGGACCAAATTTTTCATACAGTATTTTAGATTTCCTTGTTGTGTTGAAACTTGCCCAACAGAGCAGGGCTTGTAGGCTAATTCAGTATGTTGCCATCCCAGGGTGCTGCGGGCTTCTTCAAATTATGCGTGGGATGGACTTTGGAATGTGAGCCTTGATGCACCAATGATAGCAAAATGATTCAAAGAGGAGCAAAGTCCACGTTAAGAGGTTGGTGTCACAAGAAGGTGGTGCCAGAGATCATATTTTAGTTACATGCGTATTATGTTTTGATCTTTGTTTTGTTCAGCTTTCATTCTGATTTGTTTCATTTTGTAAAATTTCCTTTCATTTAGTGATTTAACCGACTGGCATTGATCAGTGGATATTGAAAAAATATGTGATGGAAATAGCCACTGTGATGTCACCAACTGATGAACAAACTCATTTTGTGAAGCATTTTCATATTTCATTCTTGGTGTTATAACCGAAAATGATAAGAAAGAATAAGGAAACAGAAACTTTACAATGAACTTAGTGCAATGGTGCTAAGGGCAAGAGTTGCCCCCTGGTGGCCATTCTTGGTTTCATTGTCATTGTTATCTTCATCCATCCATTCTCTTCTCTCTTCCCCTCTCTTCTCTTCTGCTTATCCTTGTCAGGGTCGCGAGGGAGGAGGGGGGCAAGAGGCAGAGTACACCCTGGACAGGTCACCAGTCTGTTGCAGGGCTAACACATAGAGACAGGCAACCATTCACACTCACATTCACACGTATTATCATTCTTTTTATTATTATTAGTAGTAGTGGTGGTGTTCCTTGCAAAAAAAACACCCTATGGGCGGTTTTTGTCAGACCTGTGGTTCTTCACTTATGTATTAAAAGAAAGACATTTATGTTAATTTATAATATTCTTTCGAGCATCATTATATGACTGTACATTAATAAACACCAAAGAAAATAATTAATATATAAAATAAATACATCTATTTATTAATCATTTGTTTGGTTTAATGCAGAATGAATAATAGGAATAGACACGTGTATATACACTATAACTATTAGAGTAAGATGATGATGATGATGATGATGATGATTATTATTACCATTTCTAATGGCTACCAGGTAACCCAATGCAGAGCAGTTAAGCCAAGGCCATCTTTTATATACAGTCTATTCACTTAACAAGTGTGTGTCAGTGTGACACCAGCAGGTCCACTACAAGCATCTTTTCGCGATGTGTCACTGTGTAAATGTGGTGACCAAAGACATGTCCAGTGTAATTCACAGCAAAGTGATATTGACTATCTATAGAAGGGAGGGCAGTGTGAAGAAGTGGCCTGTTGCATGGAAGGACATGTTTCTTCCTGAAAAACACTTAGTCCACAATCACCACTTGTGATTTCATTAAGAAACTGTCAGTGTCAGGGACACTAATCAATACAAGTATGAGTGTATGTAGTCGTAGAAAGAGCAGGATTACCTGTCGCATGTCAGACAACATTTCAACTTGTCTCCATAGAATAACGAAGACTGAGGCCCAGAGACTTTCTTCAGCACAGACAAAACGAAGCAAAAACAAACAGGAACAAGCGGATCGTGCTATCATTCAAAGACATTGTTCACCTAAAGTCATTTTATAGTAATAACTAATCTGTTATGCTCGGGCTACCGCAGCATTGTACACTTTATTTTCAGTTGTTAAGCACTTATGTAAATTCACGTTATGTAAATTAGGCTCTTTATTGCTACCAGCAACTGAAAACATTACTCAGGATGCTAATTCAAACTAGCTGGAAAGACAAGCAAAATAATGTGATACACAAACCCCGTGTAGAGACCATTACTTTAAAAGTCTCTGTGCTTTTAGGCTGATTCAGATAACGGCGGAAACTAAAAGATGTGTGTGTGTACGTTTGGTGTGTGTGCAGCTGTCCTGTGGCCCAAAGACAGACACGCACTTACCGATGGTCATTTCAGTGTAACGTTTCACCAGTTTGAGGTTCCAAACCATAATTAGCTCTGCTATAGAAATGAGTATATAAACCAGCTTTAGGTTTTGGTTCACTGGTTCACATCACTGGAGGAAAGTTATTCAAACTGAAAACTATTGCTTTAACTGCCAGAAAACAGAAATGGTTGAATCACTGTTCTGTATGGTTTTCAAAGATTTTTTCTTTCTTTTTCATTCACTGTTAAAGTAGTTCTGATGTGCATATATGCAGCTCTGGAAATGATTCTGAATCAGTGACCTGTGATTTTGCTGTTCTAAGTAAAGCTGGGAAGACTTTGAATCTCTGTTTTTGCTTTGTGCTTTTTCACATTGCCTGTTTGATTTACTAGAATATTGAGTGTCTTGAGGTGTAGACAGGATTTAATTTCACTCTTTACACTGAGAGCATCTGCTGAGTCACATATGAGTAATGTTACCACTCTATAAGCTGCAAGCACAACACTGACATATGTTAGAAAAACATTCGCCTAAATGTTCAGCTGATATACACCCACCAGCCACTTTATTAGGTCCAGCTGTTCAACAGCTTGCTTATTTAAGTCAGCCAATCATATGTGATTCAGAACATGATATGTTTGCAGGTGCCAGCGAGGCTGTCTGAGTATTGCAGCTGATCTGAGGGGATTTTCCCACACAGAAAGGACAGGCTCTCCTCTGCAAGTCCTGCAAGGTGACTGAAAGTCTCCTCCATCCCCATATTGACTCACCTGTCTGATGGCGGACAGTAGCTTTCCGTAGCAGAACACAATCACCAGGAAGGGCACGATGAGGCAGAATATAAACAGACAGATGATGTAAGAGATGTTATTTGCTGTCTTGGCTGTCCAATCAACAGAGCAGGTGGTCCCAGGTCCCTCTGGGCCGTAGTGGCTCCAGCCGAAGAGCGGCGGCAGGGTCCAGATAAGTGAGTACGCCCAGGACATGATGATGCCAAGGGAGATTTTACGGTAGTTGGAGGAGTCCGCCTCAGTGGGAGCCATCATAGTGCTGTAGCGCTCATAGGAGAGGACAGCCAGAGAGATGAGGGACACAATGCCTAGAGCACAGAAATACAAAGGTAGGCATTATATGCACATGTGGTACAGACACATATGGTATTTCCCCCTTACTATTCAGATCATTAAAGTCTTTTTAGTTAGTTTGATGTTAATTAAAGAAAGATAACCAGAGTAAATATATAATGCAGTTTTTAAATTAGGATTTCGTTTAGTAAGGGAAAAAGTTTCCAATCCTACCCGACCCTGTGTGAAACGTAATCTAGTAAATGGTTGTGCCACCCACGGCAGCAAGAACTGCAATCAAGAGTTTGTGATAACTGGGAGTGAGTCTTCCACATCGCTGTGGAAGAATTTTGATCCACTGTTCTTCGGTTCAGCCACACTGGAGACTTTTTTTAACAGCGTGTTTAAGGTCATCCATAAGCATCTGAATCTGACTTGAGTTGGGATTTTGACAAGGCCACTTCACAACCTTCATTTTGCTTTTGTTCTTTGTTTTCTCTTTTTCTTTTTTTGAGACATTCAAAGGTGGACTTGCTGCTGTGTTTCGGATCATTACTCTGCTGTATAAACCAACTGCTCTTGAGCTTCAGGAAATGAACCGATGGCTGGATATTCTCCATCCGGAATTTCTTTGCAGTGAGCAGAATTCATGGTCCCATCATTTAGAGCAAGTCACCCAGAAGCAGCCCCAGACCATCACACTAGCATCACCATGCTTGACTTTTCAGATGGTGTTTTTTTTTTTTAATGAAATGCTGTGCTAGTTTTACACCAGATGGTGAAAGTTCAACTTTTTTCTCCCCAGTCCACAGAATATTTTCCAGAAAGTTTTGGGGATCATCAAGACGTTTGTGCAAATGTGAGACGAGCCTTTGTGTCCTTTTTGGTCAACAGTGGTTTTCTCCTTTAAACTCTCCATGGATGCCATTTTTGCCCAGTCTCTTTCTTTTTGTTGAATCATGAACTCTGGCCTTAACTGAGTGAAGTGAGCCCTACAGAAGTTTAGATGTTGTTCTGGATTCTTTTGTGGCCTCATGGATGAGTCGTCGATGCACTCTTGGAGTACTTTTGGTAGGCTGGGAAAGTTCAGAAGGTTCAGTACTTTTCTGAGTTTTCTCCATTTGTGGACCGTGGTCCAATGGAGTCCCAAATTTTAGAAATGGCTTTGTAACCCTTTCCAGACTGATAGACGGCAGTGACTTCTTTCCTTTTCCTTCATTAGCTCTTGTGTATTTAAATCTTCAGTTTGCTTCTGTTTGTTGTACTGTGTAGTCTGCTTGTTTGTTTCCTGCTCGTTCCTGCAGGGTATTTCCTGTATTCCGAGTGTACGTACTCATCTTCTATTTGTCAAATATTAAATTATATTTCATGATCTGAAACGTAAGTGTGACACATGCACAGACATACAGCAAGACTACAGACTGCTTGTTCAGTGTGCTCCTGTTGTAAGCTTGAATATAATATTTCACCTTTAATGGGATCATAAAATACAGACTGAAATGTACCGCCTGTCCAAATGTTTTTCTTCTCTAGTGAGAAAAACATGCACAGTCACTGTGATATAAAGCCTCCCAAAGACGTCCTGGCATCACAAGTGCAGCTAAAGTGAGCTTTAAAGTTTATCATAGCGTAGAAAACTATAGCAAAAGAAATCATCTTATATTTATAGTCTGGAGCCTGCAGCAAACCCACACTGCACATTATAAACAGCGGCACTACCCACGGCGTCTCAGTGCAGCACAAGACAGAAATCTCAGAAACCATTTTCATATATATGTATGTAACTGTTCAATACACAAGATAATTTTAGTCTTGTCATCCTGTTCACTGGGCCATGCTTAATGACCACTTTTAATTATTATTGTTATTTTACTGTATTTTAAAAAATAAACTGTGCATGAGGTTAGGTAGAGAAAACTAAGTCAGCAGAATAGAAACAAAGTTTAGTTCTGTAGTTGAAAACTTGAGTATTTTTGTCTTGTTTATCCAAATACATTGACTTGACTACACAGTCTCTGTGGTACAGTGTGTTGTGCTTGTCTGTTTACCCCCAGATATTAAACTCAATGTGGTTTGTCCTGCACAGACTGTTAGCTCAGGGCTTTTATGAGCTCTGTTACAGCAATATTCTAAAGTCAACACAGTTTTACAACAGTCCACTTATGTTTCTGTTTGATCTGGGCTGGCTCATAAGAACCAAACCTAAAAACAAAATTCCAGTTGTTTTTTTAATTTAAGCCAAATCTGTTACTCTCTCTCCCCCTTTTTTTCTGTGAGTTTTGACATGAAAGCCTGGTAACACCGTCCTCCCACAGCAGGTGGACGGGCTACTGTCATTTTTCAGCTGAGATCTAAAGCGGTCGTGTTTATAGCTGGGTATGATCTGTAAAATCTGCTGTAATCCAGTAGCAACGCTTTCAAAAAACTCCTTTTCTACTCCATTATGTGTTTAAATCGGTCTTTCCTCAGGCATCCTCAGATGTTTGACCTTTCCTGTGAGGAATGATTCAGTGACATGAGAGGGAAGCATTTTCTGAATTCTCTGCAAAGTTCCCAAATCTTAAGCATTACACATCATAGTGATATCTGATGAGTGTTTTTGTAATAATCACGTGCAAAACATTTTTAAAGACAGTGAGAAAAATAATTTTCTCACTGCTGATAAGAAAATAAACATCTCTCGTTATTTAAGGCAATGAAAAAAAGATGAAACTTCGTGTTTTAGTGACCATGAAATGTGCAAAGAAGATACTTCAGTTAAGCAGAATCTGATAATACAAAAGTTTTTTGAACTCATGTGGTTCATTTTATTGTTGTTTGCACATCAAATTCTGTTATAGTGTTTTCTCTGCTGCTGTGGACCACAGACTACCAAGTCATCAGCTTAGGAGAAACAATATAATAGATGTAATTTTTGTGATTATAGTGATTATAGTGATTGTAAAGGCTTCCATATTTTCGGCAGAGGAGTTTATTTCAAATAAACAAACTCTCACTGAGCAAGATTGCAATTTCTTTTTAATTCTGCCAGCTGGTGGCCATGCAGCTAAAAAAAAAAAGCGTATTCTCAGTTGTGAGATATGCACTGGAGAAAAGAGGAAAGTAGAATGAGAGAGAAGCAGGTGTAACAGTGAAGCTGCAACAAGCAAAGGCAGCAAAATACATGGAATCAACCACCCAAGAAAACAGACATTGCACAAGAGGGGTGAATAAGAGTGCGCAGGCAGGGTGGAGTGAGTGGGCGAGAGTGTCAGGAAAGTTTACAAGATGGCAGTGAGACCTGCTGTGATATGAGATTTGAAAATGGTGGCACTGACAAAAGACGGGGGGTGGCAGAGTCGATCATATTAATATTTTCATTATGAGTGACCATGATGGACATGATTGGAAATGAGTGCATCACAGGGAGAGCTCAGTTTGATCAGTGTGGAGAAAGGCAACGTTAAGCTGGTTTGGACATGTGCAGAGGAGGGGGAGTGGATAAATTGGCAAAAGGATGTTGAAAATGGAGCTACCAAGCGGCAGGAAAAGAGAAAGACCTCAGAGAAGATTCTTAGATGTAGTGAAGGAGGACGTGCAGAAGGTTGGTGTGACAGACAAATGCTAGGGAGAGGATGAGATGGAGGCAGATGATCCACTGTGGCAACCCCACATAAAGGGAACAGATGACAGAAGAACAGCCACAACGAAACAGCATTACAGTTTTGGATGGTTAATGGTTGGATAACCATCGCTAGAGTTTGGTGCAGCATATGTGCAGGCTTCAGATGTCTTTAAGCACTCTGCTTTAAATGGTTTTATTCTGTTCTTTTCTCTGTATGATGCCAAAGATAGGGGGTGTGATGAATACAGTCATCTCAGGAACAGCAGCCCCGCCCATCTGCTGTTCAAACCTTCTATTAGTGAAGGATAGCCAATTAGAAAAAAGTTGGCTTAAAGGGAGAGAAACGAAAAAATAAACTAGATGAGCTGACGTGCTTCACAAAGACCCAGTATGAGATTAATAATTTTAAACTGTGAAGTTTAAAATACAATAGAGTCTGACAGTAATAATATGAAAATGTAAATCAGCAGAATGGGTCACCTTTAAGAAATGTCTTTAGTTTTGAATGTACCTGAGACTGCGGCAGGACTAAAAGCTGAGCTGGCAGCCTGATGTAGCAGTATAAGGCAAGGCAAGTTTCTTTATATAGCACAATCAACAGCAAGGTGATTCAAAGTGTTTTACAGGGACATTAAAAAACAGAAACAAATTAAAAACCATGATTTAAAATGAAAAAGAAAGAGTACATTTTGAAATTTAAGCTTAAAAGTGTGGATTTGGTGTTTTATTCAAATGCAGCCGAGAACAGGTGAGTCTTCAACCTGGATTTAAATAAACTGAGTGTTTCAGCTGATCTGAGGCTTTCCGGGATATATGGAGCATAAAAGCTGAATGCAGCTTCTCCGTGTCTGATTCTGACTCTGGGAACAGATAAAAAACCGGATCCAGATGACCTGAGGGATCTGGAAGGTTCATACTGGGTCAGGAGGTCACTGATGTATTTTGGTCCTAAACCATTCAGAGCTTTATAGACCAGCATCAGAACTTTAAAGTCTATCCTCTGACGAACAGGCAGCCAGTGTAAAGACCTCAGAGCTGGACTGATGTGGTCCACTTTTTTGGTCTTAGTGAGGACTCGAGCAGCAGAGTTCTGAATGACTGCAGTTGTCTGACTGATTTTTTAGGTAGACCTGTAAAGATGCTGTTACAGTAATCAAGCCTACTAAAGATGAATGCATGGACTAGTTTTTCCAGGTCATGTTGAGACATCAGATCTTTTATCCTTGAAATATTCTTGAGATGATAGTAAGATAATTTTGTTATTGTCTTAATGTGTTTTTCTAAGTTTAGGTCTGCATCCATCACCACTACTGGTTTGTGGTTTTTAGGTATATTGAAGTTCTCTGGTGACCTGTAATCATTTTTCTTTGGCTCCAAAGACTATTACTTCAGTTTTGTTTTTGTTTAGCTGGAGAAAATTGTGGCACAACC